GGAGGACAATGAAGAACTAACCACTGATGAGCTGATAGATCAACTTCAACAGCAAGAGGCCATACCTGAGGAAACTGGTTCAAAGGAGGGGAGAGAGAAATTGAAGAAGTTGCCTACTACAAAGATTAAGGAAATCTGTGCAATGTGGCTGAAAGTGCAAACCTTTATGGATGAGAATCACCCTCACACAGCTATTGCAAGCCGTGCTGGTGATTTATTACACTGACAATGTTGTGAAACACTTTAGGGAAGTCATAAAGGAATGAGAGGTACAGGCCACTATGGACAGATATGTTGTGCGAAAGAAGTCCAGTGACTCTGAAGCTGGTCTAGTGGCATTAAAAGAAGAATGGAAGTAACCCCAGAAAAGGACTCGACACCTCAAGTCTTAATGGAAGGGGATTCCCCTTCTAAACACTAACACTCTCTTCCCCCTCCTCCCATCCCATCAATCATCACCAGATCTTCAATAAAAGTAAGTGTCATGTAATTGTGCATGCCTTTTTCAGTTTGTGTGTATTAAAATTAACATTTCATGTGGTAAAATTTTTTTTTTCATACTTTTGGGTGTCTTGCGCGGATTAATTTGATTTCCATTATTTCTAATGGGAAAAATTCATTGCATACCGATCATTTACGCAGTAACAATGAGGCCCTTCTTGCACGATTTTTAAATCGCTTGGGGTCCTGTCTTATCAGAATGGACATAACTTAGCATACAGATTGCCAAAAGGATTTGAGATTATTTTATTATGTAAGCAGCAACCTTGACACCAAACTACATGCCTCATCTTACGTAACAATGCAAATAGTATTACTGGATTTATATCTAGAAGTGTAAGCAACAGAAGCCCGTGGTTATTTTACGCTTTATACATCAAATAAGGCCTCCCTAGATTACGCAGCTCAGTTGTACATTTCCTACAGAATGGACTAATTCGTAGCAAATATCCAGCTCTACAATGATTAAATTTAATTCATAGCATTAGAAACCCTTTCTTAGAGCATTAAGAATTTTATAAAACTCATTCACTTTTGAAGAAGAATGAGGAGACATATCGAATTGTATAAGTTGAATGCATTAACAAGGGGATTAAATAAGGCTTTGAGCGATATCACCTCAAGACAGAACACTGATAAGGATTTCAAATTACGATAAGTCTAAGATTTTCTCAGGATATGAAATTCCAAATAATTTCTAAAGCAATTTCGTACCCATCTTGACAAGCCACTGATCATTAATGATTCTCAACACTTTTATAAAGGGGCCTCCTCGTCTTATAAATTTACTAACTTTTTTCCACTAAGGTGTTGAGGAGTAGATCTTAATGATATGATATTGTGGTATATGGACATCATAAGGGCTTTCAATAAGTTTCCACACCAGAGGCTATTGAAAAAACTTAGGGCCACACTAATGGAGAAGAATTTTTTCCTGGGTTTAGAAGGCATGGCTGACAAATAGACAGCAGAGAGTTTGCATAAATGGGGAGAAATCGAATGGGGCACGCCCACAAGCGTGTTCCTCAGGGGTCAGTGTTGGGCCGTTGTTGTTCACAATTTACATAAACGACATAGATGAGGGAATAAAAGGTGACATAAGCAATTTGCTGATGACACCAAAATATGCCGTCAATTCTTCTAATGAGGACATTAGAGCACCTCCAGGATGATTTGTTTAGACTGACGCAATGGTTGGAGAAGTGGCAGATGCGTTTAATATTGACAAATGCAAAGTTCTAAATGTTGGACAGTTAAATAACCATGCCACATATAAACTAAATAATGTAGATCTTAATACTACCGATTGCAAAAAGGATTTAGGAGTTTTGGTTAGCAGTAACCTAAAACCAAGACAACAGTGCATTAGTGTTCGCAATAAAGCTAACAGAATTCTTGGCTTCATATCTAGAAGTATAAATAATAGAAGACCTCAGGTTCTTCTTCAACTCTATATATCCTTGGTTAGGCCTCATTTAGACTATGCTGCTCAGTTCTGGTCACCATATTACAGAATGGATATAAATGCTCTGGAAAATGTACAAAGGAGGATGACAAAGATGATCCCATGTATCAGAAATCTTCCCTATGAGGATAGACTGAGGGCCCTGAATCTGCACTCTCTCGAAAGGCGTAGAATTAGGGGGGATATGATCGAGGTGTATAAATGGAAAACAGGAATAAATAAAGGGGATGTAAATAGTGTACTGAAAATTTCCAGCCAAGACAGGACTCGCAGCAATGGTTTCAAGTTGGAAAAATTCAGATTCAGGAAGGATATAGGAAAGCACTGGTTTGGTAATAGAGTTGTGGATGAGTGGAACAAGCTCCCGAGTACAGTTATGGAGGCTAAAACATTGTGTAGTTTTAAAAATAGGTTAGATAAATACATGAGTGGGTGTGGGTTGGACCTGACTAGCTTGTGCTGCTGGGTCTGGTACAGTGCTCCATCCTTGTATGGGGATGACCAGACTGGGTGGGTCATTGGGATAATCTGGGGGGTGGGTCATTGGTCTAATCCAGGGGGGGGTGGGACATGGACCTGCTCCACATGGGTCAGTAGGCCTGTTGCAGTGTTCCTTCTTTCTTATGTTCTTATATAGGAAAGTATTGGTTTGGGAATAGGGTAGTTGATGAGTGGAACAGTTTGCCTAGAAGGGTTATTGAAGCTAAAACGTTGGGTAGTTTCAAATTTAGGTTAGATAAATACATGAGTGAGAGGGGTTGGATTTGAGTGAAACTTGCATAATGAGTAAAAAGAATCATCAAAACTTATTCCTTGGGTAGCATTGAAAATTGGGTTGGGCAAATATTTTGTTAGTGGCATGCATTGTAAAGGACCTGTCTAGTATGGGCCAACAGGCCTGCTGCAGTGTTCCTCCTTTCTTAGGTTCTTAGTCACCTGCAGGAACCTCAGAGCTGCCTGAGAAAAAATAGGAAAGGCAAAGAGGCGTGGAGTTTAAATCTCTCACCCTTCAGAGATTAAGGCCCAGATCCACCAGTTGTGTAGCAGGAACTTGGCTCCTATGATGAGAAAGCATGAATTTAATCATTTGTAAATCTAGTTAGTCATAGGAAAAGCTGAGACTGCCAACAAGATGATGTTAGCAAACATTAGAGAGAGGTCTGAATAAGACAGAGACACAGGAAGCTGCCTATATGGAAAACTAGTGTGTATTGAGGGCCTGATTCAAGTTAACTCAAAGAATCTTCAGGAAGTATAGATGTCAGGATGAAGGCCCTACTCATACTAGCCAGGGAGAAGATTAGACAGGTGATCTGGGAGCAGTGAAGGACATCATAAATTGGAAGGAATCATCTGTCAGGAAGAAAAGGGTGTCTGAGAGCCTGGACATCATAGTTGAGCTAGACAAGAGCAAGTGAGCAAACCATCTAAATCAAAATCCCAAGTTGGGGTCTCCAGGACTATAATGAAGTTGAATGTCCAGGGGATCCTTCAGACTGCCTGGAAGGTAAGTTGGGAGATGTCCAACACTTCTAAACAGACTGGAAATGCTGAGGACTGCAGCCTTGTTAGTGGATTAGGGTACTTGTGGAAGGAGGGAGATTTGAGAGCACAATCTTAGAGGTTGCCCTGGAACCAGTCACCAAGTGGAACAAAAGATGATTTTTAAGATGTGATTGCTAAGAAGGCCTTCCATCAGGCACTACATGATACAGTACCATCTCTTGCACTGTTAATGTCAAATAGGAAATGAGTACAGGGTCAGAGTGTCATAGTTATGAAGCTAGATAAGCCACAAATTTGGAGGTGTTCAGGAAGATACAAAATGTGTGAGGAGCTGGTGCCATTTTTTAGACCATTCTGTAAGTCATCTATTAAAACTAGATATTCATCCTGTCCAGTCGAAAGGTGAAAAATCTGTAAAAAGTTCCCCTGGATAGGGATGTAAATACAAGCCTTGTTTATATTGATTGAGGCAGCCTGACCAAGTTGAACAAGGAAGAAGGAGGAAGTAACCTTGGTGATTGATATCATTTAGATGGTTAAACTGCGAGTTGCTAGTTTATGTCATGCTTCAGGACTGGAGAGCAAGGAAGAAGCAGCAAGAAACTAAGATTCTGTAGTTAACTCTAGAAAGAGGATGGGTTGTTGCTTTTTCGTGACTTGCATGAGGTCATGCCTGGACAACTCACTGTGAACCACTAAGTCCTTGCTATGTAAAGTACTCTTAGGAAAGCTCCATGAGCTGAGCCTCCTGGTATCAAGGAATAGGTCTTTCAACTGTTGCAAAGTTAGTGAGCCAAACAAGACCAGTGGTAAGTGCAGTCAGGAGTCTCAGAGTAGCAGGATGAAATCACTCAAGTTGTGGCTAAGGGTAGTCCCTTCAAATCATTGGGTAACTAAACACTAGTTATAGAATAAGCCACTGTATAAAAGAATAGTTGTTTACACAACCACATTCTGGTGAGTCAACACTGGAACCGACTGTGAGAGGTCTCTGGTTGTGGAAAGAAATACAGGCTGTTATTACTGAGTGAGAGCATACAAGATAGTCCCTACTGGGCCTAGACAGGTAAGTGATGGGTGTGATTGTGTGTTGGTTTTGTTCCTGGTGACACATGAGGGCTTAACACAAATGATTGTGACTTGAGAATGTGTGTATTGCAAAACATTGTATATAATATACACTATTTTATGTGACATATTTAAAAATGAAAGCTATATTATGTAAGGCCTAACTTTTATAGCCACTTATTTTGTGATGTATATTTTGGATAACTCCTTGTTAGTTTTTTAGTTTCTTTACATATAATAAATAATAATAATAATAATATTAATAATATTAATAATATCAATAATATTAATATAATGTAAGTACTGAACATGAAGATGCATAATACTGCAAATCTATGAATATCTAATCATTGCTATAAACTTGATAATTTTTCAAGTAAAGCACAGAAGAGTAATAATGTCACAGCCTATAATTTCATGTTCCATTGGTTGTTTATAAGAATATTAATTTTCTTAACAGAGCCACAGCAATGAGACATATACTTTGGGACTTTGAAAACTGTTACTTGGAAAGTACTTTAGACATGATGCAGGAAGACACCACCTTTAATGACCTTCCACAAGACCAGTGTGAGAACTTACTTGGTCAAAAGAAAGTTCACATATTCCTGTCACGTAGCCATGTTGCTAATAATGGTAAGTCTGAGGATTTATGTTATTATGGATATTTAAGAACAAGAACAATTTACCTTTAATTATGGATTATAACTGTAATTGTTTTACATGATGGTAGGATTGCCGGTGTCTTTTGTCTATCTCATAAATCTGCAAGATTACGAGTACGGCTTGCTACTTCTGCTTACACTTAGGTCACACTAAACATACATGTACATGTTTATATATACACACTCAGATGAGTTTTCTTTGATTTTATCTTAGTTCTTGTTCTTATTACTTTTCCTTTTATATCCATGGGAAAGTGGAATAAGAATATTTCTTCCGTAAGCCATGCATGTTGTAAAAGTCAACTAAAATGCCGGGAACAATGGGCTTGTAACCCCTTTTCTTGTAATAATTACTAAAAAGAATAAGAAGAAGAAAATTGTCAAAGTAGGAAATCTGAATGTGCATGGATGTTGTGCAAATGATAAGAAAGAGATGATTGTGGATGTTATGAATGAGAAGAAGCTGGATGTCCTGGCTTTAAGTGAAACAAAGCTGAAGGGGGTGGGTGAGTTCCAGTGGAGAGGAATAAATGGGATTAGGTCAGGGGGTTCAAATAGATTTAGAGCTAAAGAAGGAGTAGCAATAATGTTGAAGGATAAGCTATGGCAGGAAAAGAGGGACTATAAATGTATTAATTCAAGGATTATGTGGAGTAAAATAAAGGTTGGATGAGAGAAGTGGGTTATAGTAAGCATATATGCACCTGGGGAAGAGAGAAGTATAGAGGAGGGAGAGAGATTTTGGGAAATGTTGAGTGAATGCGTGGGGAGTTTTGAACCAAGTGTGAGAGTACTTGTGGTTGGGGATTTTAATGCTAAAGTGGGTAAAAATGTTGTGGAGGGAGTAGTAGGTAAATTTGGGGTGCCAGGGGCAAATGAAAATGGGAAGCCTTTAATTAAGCTATGTGTAGAAAGAGGTTTGGTAATAAGTAATAGTACATATTTTATGAAAAAGAAGATAAATAAATATACAAGGTATGATATAGCACATAATGAAAGTAGTTTGTTAGATTATGTATTGGTGGATAAAAGGTTGATGGGTAGGCTCCAGGATGTACACGTTTATAGAGGGGCAACTGATATATCGGATCACTATCTAGTAGTAGCTACAGTTAGAGTAAGAGGTAGATGGGATAAGAGGAAAATGGCAACAACAAGTAAGAGGGAGGTGAAAGTGTATAAACTAAGAGAGGAGGAAGTTCGGGTGAAATATAAGCAACTATTGGCAAAAAGGTGGGCTGGTGCAAGTATGAGTAGTGGGGGGGGGGGTTGAAGAGGGTTGGAATAGTTTTAAAAATGCAGTATTAGAATATGGGGCAGAAGTTTGTGGTTATAGGAGGGTGGGTGCAGGAGGAAAGAGGAGCGATTGGTGGAATGATGAAGTAAAGGGTGTGATAAAAGAGAGAAAGGCAGCTTATGAGAGGTATTTACAAAGCAGAAGTGTTATAAGAAGAGTAAAGTATATGGAGAGTAAAGGAAAGGTGAAGAGAGTGGTGAGAGAGTGGATGATACAGTGGGAGAGGCACTGTCAAGAAATTTTAATGAAAATAAGAAAAAAATTTGGAGTGAGTTAAACAAGTTAAGAAAGCCTAGGGACCGAATGGATTTGTCAGTTAAAAACAGAGTAGGGGAGTTGGTAGTTGGGGAGATGGAGGTATTGGTTAGAGGGAGAGAATATTTGGGGGAACTTTTAAATGCGATGAAGAAAGGGGGGGTTTAATTTCATGCATGGCCGGGGAGGTATCCATTTTAGGAGTGAGAAGAGAGGTGTGAGGTGGGGAGGTGCGTGAGGCATTACGTAGAATAAAAGGGGGGTTTTAAAGCAGCTGGAAATGGGTCATGACAAAAATGTTAAAAGCGGGGGGGGGACATGGGTTTTTGGTGGGAAGGTACCTAGGCTTGGTGGAAGAGCGGTTAATCCCTTTATAAAAAGGGGAAAGGGGGGGAAAAAGAGATTGTAAAAATTAGAGGAATGATTTTATGAGTATCCAGGAAAAAGTGTACGGTAGGGTTATTATTGAAAGAATTAGAGGTAAGACAGAATGTAGAATTGGGATGAGAAAGGAGGTTTTAGAGTGGGTAGGGAGTGTAGATCAGTGTTTACTTAAAGCATATATGTGAACGTTATTTAGAAAAAAGGTGGGGAAGTTTTTATGCATTTATGGTTTTAAAAAAAAAGCTATATAGAGTGGATAGGAGGGCAATGTGAGATTTTTGCAAGTTTTATGGAATAGGTGGTAAGTTACTAAATGCTGTAAAGAGTTTTTATGAGGATAGTGAGGCTCAGGTTAGGGTGTGTAGAAGAGAGGGAGACTATTTCCCGGTAAAAGTAGGTCTTAGACAGGGATGTGTAATGTCACCATAGATGGGGTTGTAAAAGAAGTAAATGCTAGGGTATTCAGGAGAGGGGTGGGATTTTGGGGAATTAAATACAAAATGGGAAGTGACACAGTTACTTTTTGCTGATGATACTGTGTTTATGGGAGAGTCTAAAGAAAAATTGCAAAGGTTAGTGGATGAGTTTGGGAGTGTGTAAAGGTTTGAAAGTTGAAAGTAAACATAGAAAGAGTAAGGTGATGAGGGTATAAAAGATTTAGATAAAGAAAAATTGGATATCAAATTGGGGAGGAAAATATGGAAGAAGTAAAATGTTTTCAGATACTTGGGAGTTGACGTGTGGGCCCGATGGATTTATGAAGGATGAGGTTGATCATAGAATTGATGAGGGAAAAAAGGTGAGTGGTGTGTTGAGGTATATGTGGAGTCAAAAACGTTATCTATAGAGGCAAAAAAATTTGGAATGTATGAAAGTATAGTAGTACCAACACTCTTATATGGGTGTGAAGCTTGGGTTGTAAAAGCAGCAGCGAGGAGGCGGTTGGAGGCAGTGGAGATGCCCTGTCTAAGAGCAATGTTGTGGTGTAAATACTGTATTATGCAAAAAAATTCAGAGTGTGGAAATTAGGAGGTGTGGAGTTAATAAAAGTATTAGTCAGAGGGCTGAAGAGGGTTTGTTGAGGTGGTTTGGTCATTTAGAGAGAATGGATTAAAGTAGAATGACATGGAGAGTGCACAAATCTGTAGGGGAAGGAAGGTGGGGTAGGGGTCGTCCTCAAAAAGGTTGGAGGGAGGGAGTAAAGGAGGTGTTGTGGGGGAGGGGTTTGGGCTTCCAGGAAGCGTGCACGAGCGTGTTAGCTAGGAGTGAATGGAGACGAATGGTATTTGGGACCTGACGATCTGTTGGAGTGTGAGCAGGGTAATATTTAGTGAAGGGATTCAGGGAAATTGGTTATTTTTATATAGCCGGACTTGAGTCCTGGAAATGGGAAATACAATGCCTGCACTTTAAGGGGGGGGTTTGGGATATTGGCAGTTTGGAGGGATATGTTCTGTATCTTTAAAATTATGTTTCTAAACTGTTGTTTTCCCTGAGCACCTCGGGCCAAAAACATGATTATGTTTGTAGTGAAAAGGGAAAGTGTTGAATGAGGGATGAAAGTATTTTTTTTTGGGTTTTTTCCCTTTTTTTTTGGGGCCCCCCCTGCCTCGGTGGGTGACGGCCGATTTTGTTGAAGAAAAAAAAAAAAAAAGGGTCCACTGAATAGTCTTATGCCCAAAAAATGACTTTTAAAACACTTGAAATTTTGGAAAAGTTTCCGTGGAACCAAGAAAACAGAGCTCATGGCAACACACCCATTTTACTTGAAAAAAATAAAGATTTTTATTAAAAACACTAGGGGGAAGGTCCCCCATAAATGTGAAATTTTAGGTCAGTTTTTTGGGGGGGGCAGTCAGATATAAACATTTTTTCATACCTCTCCCTTGCATTAATTAAAAAAAGTTTTCTCCCCTTTAAAAATCCCTTTTTTTTTTGAAGTTTTTTTTCCCAAAATGCAAACACCTTATATTGAGTACCGGTTTTTTTTTTTATTTTTTAAATGTTTTTTGAAAACCTTTACTTTGGGAGATTGGTATTACAATAGTGGGATGCAATCCCAAAGAGAGTTTCCCTATTTTTTTCCCCTTGGCATTAGGGGCTATCTTTACATTGGGCAGTAAGAAAAAACATAACAAAAGGGCTTTCTCATTTCTTGAAACCCCTTTATGAGTAAAGGGCATATTAAAGGAATGTTTTTTTTACAGTTCCCCCCGAAAAAAATTTTTAAAAAACAGGGTTTACCCTAGAAATAGAGAACGTGTTTTAAAATTAATTGTCATACTTTCCCTTTTTATGCCCCCCCTGCCCCCAAACACATCACAGTTAGGTTAATTTTTTTTTAAATTTTAAAAATTTTGTTTTGTATCAGGGTTTAAATAAATTTTAGCATTTTCTTATAAAATTTTGGGGAAAAATCATAGACTGATTAATGAAATTTTCCCTGATAATGAAATTATACATGCCCTTTAAAGCCCCCCCAGCAATTTTTATTTTTTAATTATTATTTTTAATTATTATTATTTTTAATTATTATTTTGTTTTTGGGTTCCTCAAATAGCAATTTTAAGCCCCTGCATCCCAAACCCAACAGTGTGAAAAGTTTTTTGGGGTTTACACGTACACAAAAGGGGAACAATTATCAGTAAAATCTCAGTACTATCTCAGTCAGAGACATACCTTGCTACTGATTTGGGAATCTTTTCTAATTTTGCACATAAAGTAAGAAGAGTCCAGACATTATCAAGAAAGAGACAAAGCTCCTGGAGGATGTAAAAAAACAGGGGGCACGGGGATGCCAATAAGTGAATCAGGACCATATAATCAAATTTTTGGAAAATTTGAAATGTCCGTATTATTGAAGTGGGGTAAAGTGGGGAAAAGATGGCAGGGGGAAAAGGGCCCCTAAAGATACACAGGGGCAAGTAAAGCAGAGAAAAAGAGGATTAACCCTTTCATCTACAGGATTGCGATAATGAAAATTAATGTATTTTAAAAAGGAAATTAGAAAATTTTAAAAAAGGGCAGGAAAGTGA